GCTGGAGGTTTCTTCCTGTTCAAAGGGAGTTTTTCCTCTCCACTGTCGCTACAAGCATGCTTAAGGCTGATTCATACTTCGAAACTAGGTCGTCTGCGTAGGAGTCTCAGTGAACGCAGAGACGTCCCCACCCCCTTCCGCAGACACTCTGCTACACCTCTCCTAAAGTGTAGGTGACCGCAGACAGGAAGCCTCTGATTGGTCAAATCTACATCCACTTGCCGGCTTGTTTTTTTTTTTATGACCACAATTGCGGAAAACAACTCCTTAAGTTGAACCAGCTAGAAGAGCGTGGTGCGTCAGAACGCTGGGACCCTTTTTCCACCTGGATCTCTGCTCTTTTTGGCCCTCATGTCCCTCCGTCGTCACACAAACATGCCCCCACTTCCTCACCGCCTCGGCCGTATCTAGACCCACAGCGTACAGCGCAGACCACGCTCAAAATTGAGCATAAATCAAAAATGTATGTGTCAAGCCCACTGCGACACACTGCTGCAGGGAGGATAACCAGGCTATTAGTGTGAAGGATTGCCTTAGAGTCAATGAGTCAGCTGGTTTTCCTTAGATAAAACTTTGAATCAATCTGACTGGATGATGTGGAGAACTGGAAAGTGCCTTTAGAGGACATGTGTTGTGAATTGGTGCTATAGAAATAAAATGAAATGAATGAAGATATAAATAATTGCACATGGAAAATATCAGCAAGATCAAATAACTGGAAGTGGGTCAGGGGCATTACTTATTGAACAGCCCTCATAAAGATGATGGAACAACATCACAAGCTGTGTTGTCATGACAACATTCAACCTTTAAGTGACAGTCCTATTTTAGCTTCAGGTGTTTGGATAACATATTTCACCGACTGCAAAGAGTAACTTGTTCCTGTGTTTAATCAAGAGGATTAAATACAGACCTGCTGAGGAAGGACATTGGGGGCCAGTTTGACTAGAGATGCCACTGGGGGGTGCTAGAGCGCTAGGTGTCTTGTCATTTTGCAGCAGTTATGAAAATGTTCTTTAGATACACAGAGAAAATGAGCATCCTGAGAGCAGACCCTCAGAAACTAAAAACAAAAATGTATCTAAAGCTCATTTAGATGAATAAATAAGCATCAGGCTCAGTTTGAAGCGTAGCTCTGGTTCCTCTGAGGTTCTTTGGTTTGAAAATGATCTAACAGAAACCTTCCTGTGATGCTTGAAGGTCTCCCAGTCTCCTCCAAGCAGGACGGCGGGATCCTGGACTCAGCTGTTCCCATTGTGACAGACAGCTGTGGCGTCTATGGAACCTTCTATGTGGACCTGCAGGGGAGGGGCCTGAAGACCTTCAGCAGTCCTGGACGCTGCCCTAAAATGCCTCATGCTCCGCCTGATCAGCAAGGAGCTGAGACGATCCAGATCTGCTCTCAGCCCAGCTCCAAGTCCTCCTCCCTCAGCGGCCAGGAAGCTCTGCCCTGGAAGCAGGCCATAAGGCCTCAGCCTAAGATGGGCGTGCTGAGGGAATCATGGGAGAAGAGGAACTGTGGGAAGCAAGGTGAGTCTAACATGGTTTGGTGTTTTTACTGGTTTCAGTCCTATTTCCAGTCAGCTAACACTGAACCGTCTGTCCTCAGAGCTGCACGCAGTAAACAGCGTCCCCGTGCTTTCCTCCAGGAAAGCCTGGCCCTCCACTTTCTGCACACAGAGACTCAGTCACATTCCAGCAGGACGCCATGGTACACCCTTCAGTTTGGTTTCCAGTCCTCTCCTACCCGTTAGCACGTCCCTGACTCTCCTCTGGTTCAGGTGGAGCTGCAGACTGTGGAGAAGCTGCTGCTGGATCTCGCCTGCTGCATTATTCTGCTTCCCTGCATCTAGTGGACCTGCTGCCCCCCCCACCGCCGACGGCCACAGAGAGAAACACCCTGTCCTCAGATGAAGGGTAAAACTCTACTCTAATGGCCGACTGATCGTCACATTTCCACTAGCATCGGTTTGGTCCTATGTTGTTGAAGTCACATGTTTTATTTGCTTTAGTGTAGGACTCACACATGGATTCAGAGATCTGCTCACAGAGAAGATCTAAGCACTATCATGACAGTCAACAAATATGACAGCTTTGTTTTTTACTGGTTTATACTGTGCAAAGCATTGGGAAGATATGAAAGCTCCTGAACATTTCCTCTGAGTTTATTCAGGGATACATCCACAGTTTCTCATGTATTGTTCTGGTAATGGAGTGAAGGGAAAACGGTTCAGTAAAATGACAACTAATCTGCATCACCCCTCAGCATGAAAGCATTTATAATTTTCCCTGATCTGACCAGTGATGACATGTTTAGTCACATGACATAATTTAACCAAGGCGGGTCTAGGTGGTGTCCTGCAGACGATGTGCACTACTTGGCAATCCTTTTGGGGAAAGCCTGCTCTGATTCAGAGAGAAGGCATCCATCCCACTTTGCTCTTCTTTCTAGGAATCTGGCCACATTTATTAGTCCTCCAAACCCTGACCACACCAGGAAGCAGAAGATTAAATTAAAAGATTAAATGTAGTTTATTTATCCTAAGATTTCTTTCTTTAAAAAGTCTGCTAGTTAATGACTTGATTTGTGATAATCACATTGATTTATGTTGCCTTATAGAAACTTGTTTCTCTTGTTTCCAGAAATTGTTATGTAAAAAAATTGACATTCTAGGCAAGATCTCATTGAAAGATTGATCAATCAAGAA